GACGGCAGCAGTAGCAGCAGCAGCGGCAGTGACAGCAGCAGCAGCAGTGACAGCAGCAGCAGCAGCAGATGTACATTCACCCTGATGTCACTGCACCGTCTCCTCCCGCTGCAGGGATCTGTCTTGGTGTTTGATGGATGACTTCTCTGTGCAGCTCTGACAGGCACGGCCATGTTTGGCTGCCGTGTGCACGCGGCTGATAGATCCGTGGACTGGAGGCCGTGCGGTGCCGGCTCCCCTGGGGCCCAGTGTTCAGTTGCTGTTGAACTGTCCGTGACATTTCCTGTTGTGTTGTGACTGCGTTTGCTCCCAGGGTTCAAACTTTCCCTGCTTAGATCCCCCGCCCCTCCTCACCCCCCCTCCCCGCGCCGCTCCTGCCTTACTTTAGCTGATCCAGACAGGGTGTGTCCTGGTGGCAGAGGGAAGAGGAGGTTTGATCAAAGTGATTGGTCCGTCACTCCTGTAACCAAGATGAAAGATGGTGTTTTTATTGCACGTCAGTAACAGTGTAACACTGGACTAATTGGTCTTGATGTGCCAGTCACCTCGGGGGAGGAAAGTGGATCCTCTTCCACTCTGGCTGTGAGGGCCTTTCTACAGCAGTGCGTCAGGCTGGAAGGAAAACAGAGTGAGGCGGATGAATGAGGCGGATGAATGAGGCCTGTGGTTTTCCTGGAGAATCCCTGGCTCCACCAGCTGTGGCACGTACCAGACACATCCTGACACAGAGAGGCTGCTGCTGGTTGGTGGGTTCTGGGGCAGGGGCAATTCACTCAGGTGGGTGGAAGTCACACTGGTACCTGAACTGGTACCTGAACTGGTACCTGAACTGATACCTGTATTGATCTGAAGTGGTACCAGTGCTGGTCCGACCCTGGTCTGTTCCGTCTCTCTAAGGTCCGTCTGTTCTGGTCTGTTCTGGTCTGTTGTCTCCTGCAGGTCCGCTCTCTCACAGCTTCACCACAGAGACAGAGTCTGTTCATCAGCTCCACAGAGAACTGGACAACGTCAGAACCCAAAGGAACAAACTGGGTACGTTCTCCAGACTGGACCAGACGTCAGAGACCCCACTGTAGATGAAGTTGGCTTTTCA